CCCGTCCCGTTTGACAACTTTTACTGTCGCCGCCAAACAGAAAATAGTAGGTGGGTCTCTGACAGCTCAACTAAAATAGCCCATGGGCCTCTGACCATGTTAACACCCCCCCCATCGCGCGATAGCGAGGCGGACATCATGACGAAATCGTGACTCACTTATGTGATACATGCATGTTTCGAGCCTGGCGGAGAGTCTCTGGGAAGTCCAAGAGTTTACCAAGCTGGATAGAGGTCAGTTTCAAGTGAAAACAGGGACGTATACGCCGGGCAAATGTAGAGCAGAGTGGCCGCTCACATCCAGAGCTGTGGGTTTGATTCCTGCCCTGGCTCTCAGCGACTGAAGTTTGCATTTCCTCCTTGTGGGGTATTCCGGTTCCTCGCCGCTCGGGAGTCCGAGGACATGCAGTTTAAATGGACCGGCGCCACCGAATTGCCGTCGCCGTGTGTCAGTGTGTATACGCGCCTCGCGATGGACTGGCATCCTGTCCAGGGTGTCCCCTGCCGTGTGTCCTGTCCGTCCTGGGATAGACTCCAGGATTGTCGAATCCCTGTATGGTATAGACGGCTCAGGAAAAAAAGATTGCTTAAAAATGTTTCCGCAGTAAAAGAAAAACTTAAAATGACCGTGATAATGTGGTACAGTCTGTTTTCATCTGCCACCCATAGGGTATAATGCTCATTTTAGTCAATAACACCCAGCGTGCTCATTTTACACTGCATCATCCCAGTCGCTCACACAAATTTAAATCGCTTTTAATATCTATAGGAACAACCGTAAAGCTTATTTGAATAGTCACAGAGAATGTGGCCTGAATGCCACATGGTGAAAACAGCAATATATTTTAATTTAGATAGATGATTTTTTTTCCCGGTCCACCTTGCAATGTGTACCGAGCATGCAGCGAAACATGCGAGGCCATGCAGGGGCGTGACCGCCACATTTACCCTGTGAAGTCCACTTACTCCCCAGGGATTAGAAGAAAAGCCTTCAGGACTATTCTCTCAATAAAGCATTATCAATGTTTTTTTTTCCCAATTAGCAGCTCGTAAATCGCTGGTCTATTATTCATGGTTAGCGACCTCTGTATGTAATGAATCAGATACTGGGTCTGTGCTGCGAGCAAACCCCTCCCTCGCCGACTCCCACCTAAGAGGTCGCGGCCTGCAGAGCGCTGCACTCTGGGAAATGCGCATTAAAGCCACTTCACTTTGTTACTGTTTTCTTAATCTTTTACACTATTTGTTAATTTTTTCCTGCACATTTTCCCCAATACAGTATGTATGTCTGTCTTTCCTGTGGGCTGTGGTCATGTTTGCCATGAAACCGTGCATTTGGGGCCCCCTCTTGGCCACAAATAGTCACTACACTCGGGGGGGGAGGGGGGTTGGAGGAGGGGGGGTCGCTGAAGTGACTTTTTTAATGGGACCAGCACAGAAAATATGTCTGTTGTGATAAATTAAGATTGCCTATCATCAACTCCGCAACCATGGACTGGGTAAGCGTTTGTGGAAGATGGATGGATGGATGGATGGAGTGACATATTTTCTTCTACATGTAATGATGGACTTTAAGACAATGACATAAGTAAACGAATGATAGCCAATCAAATGCTTTTATTTTTCTGTAAGGTGTAAGCAGTGAGTAACTTGTCCTCATGTGACGGAAATCACGCTATGGCATCATCCTCCAGCTTATCGTCGCACGGCTTTAGCATAGCCGGTCCAGACCACAAACTCACAGTCCTCTTGTACGCAGAGTGTAAAATGCAATACCCCTCGTTGATATAAAGACTGTCATTTTAAGTCGGCATTTTAGTCTGTCATTTTCGGGGGTTGGTGACGCGTGGGAGTGGCCAAAGCGAAACGGGTTTTTAAAGAGGACATTGATATTCGACGGCGACACAGCTCTCATGTCCCGCCGATCGACCGCTCTCCGCTTCATCACGTCTATCGATCTCACCGCGTCGTGATACAATCTCAGGATTTCTCCGCTGGAGGGATCTCCCCCTTTCATATATTATGGGGACAAGACCTCTGTGCTGCCCCCCCCGGCGGGCCGTACGCACCGCGGAGACGATATGGGCTCCGAGAGCTTTATCGGGACTCCTTTAAAGCTTTCATCTTAAATAAAACATGCAGGGGCGTAACAAAACAGCTTTGCGTTAGAATCCCCACCCTGCGGCCCTGAAGCTTTGGGGAGGCAACTTTCAACACGAGGTTACGTGTGGTATTTTTCAGATGTTGTAGTTGTAGATTTTCCAGTTTTTAAGGCAGGGGTGGAGATAATGGGTTAAAGATTAAACATATAAATAGATAAGCCTTTTGGGCCAGTGGAATTATCTGCTTACTGACATCAGGTGACATTAATTTGGCAGTGAAAATGGGAAAAAAAATGGCCGCAATCTTATTAGCTACCTGTTCAAAATCCTTTTAATTGAATCCCCTTAATTATAATGACCCGTTCTTCTGCGATATTTCTGTTCCTCCTTAGGCGAGTCCTTTGGAAGAAAAAAAAAATCATTAAAGTTTTCTGCAGCGATCCATTTGGGGTTTAAAGGGAACACAAGTTGTCTTGGTGCATGTGTTCCTTGCGCCTTCATCTGGATCTGTATTAAAAGGCACCCTCCTTTGATTCCATATAAGTCGTGAAGACTAATAGCTCTAATTGAAAAGACGGTTTAGTTTCTCTGCAAAGGGATTACAGGTGTATTTTTTTCAATGCAGATAACCCCGGGGCTATGAGCATTAATCAAGGTGGAAGTCACACTTGTTTTCTTGTGCTCCCCCCCCCCCCTTTCCCTTGTTTCTACTGAGCATACTTTGATCATACCCAGCAAGGAGGTTTTTGGAAGAGATAACAAGGAGTTAAAGCCGGGGTAAATTCATTGGTTTTGAAGTCTATGCCGAAGTTGGTTACCCACGTTTCAACAGTTTTCTGTCAGAGAAATTTGACGTACTGGCTTCTTTCATGCAGGAATGGATCTGTAGCCAGGTTAATCAATTCGGTCGTCTCGAAAAATCCATCCTCTCTCCCACCACTTATCTAGAACGTGCTCACAGTGACCCTGGAGTCTATCCCGGGCAGCATAGGGCTCAAGGTAGGAGACAGGGTGCCAGTCCATCACAGGGCACATAAACACACAACATATTGGGAGACACCAATTAACCTTAGCCTCATGTTTTCGGACTAGACGATGAATCTCATGAATTACCGGGAACTAAATGGAAACTCCTTGCTCACATAAGGGGATGGGTTTCAAACTCTGAACCTTAAAGGATATGGGCTTCAAACCCTTGACCCTGAAGGGTATGGGTTTCAAGCACCCACCCCAGAAGGGTATGGGTTTCAAACCCTCAGTTGCGAAGGTCTGAGGCAACAGTGCTATCTGTGCTCTCATCTCTAACCATACAGCTCAATATATGACACAGCTGCGCAAAATCCAGCTATTCCAACTTTACCATGTAGGCAATTGATGCTTCTGTAAGTGCTATCTTAGGATCCAGGGCCCAAGTGGAGCACTGACAGAGTAACCTTCAGTTCCCACAACTTGCAGGCAACAGAAGTTTATGACAGTATTCCAAGGATCGAACCACCTGATTTTTCATCCAGTTCAATCCCCAGATGTGGAAATAATTTTGAATTTTTCTTTCCTCTGAATATAAACTGCATAGGATAGATTTCAGTTAATTTATCATTAATTTGTGCTTTTGTAAATACTCCTTTTGGTTTTTCAAGTTTTGAATTGTTGAAATACAAACGTAAACATAAGGCACAATTAAGCAAATTTTAATTATTATTCTTTTCAGTTAGAGCTATGAGTCTTCATGACCAAATGTTCTCACAATGTGATACAAACCTGTTATTTTGACATTGTGGGGACCATTTTTCTGTCCCCACAAAGGGAAACTGAATTTTATAAAGTCTGTGACTGCAAATCAAAAATGCCAAAACTCTTGTATTTTGTTTGAATACTTATGGGTTAAGGTAGTCAGAAATGAATGGAGAGTCCCCACAAAGATATGAATACAAACATCATTTGTGTGTGTGTGTGTGTGTGTGTGTGTGTGTGTGTGTTGCAGACAAAGGGCTCTTTCAGAAAGGCCGGGTGATAGACCGCGGGGAGGTGGACATCGGGACCCAGGTTATGCAGACCATCCCTCCAGGTCTCTTCTGGCGCTTCCACCTCACCATCCACCACCCAACGTACATAAAGTTCAATGTCTCCATGGCGCGGGACGCCCTGCTGGGCATCTACGGGAGGAGAAACATCCCCCCCACCCACACCCAGGTACTCTCCTTTAAATATCCTTTTTTACAGCCGTAATTAAAATGCCCTTCATAATGTGATGTGTATGCATGTGATTATTTTAAATGCAGATTAATATGCAGATACTCAGACATTTGACACTTAAGACATTTAACAATTAACTGTTGGACTGGGGCGTATGTAAGGGCCAATGGGGGCACTGACCCCCCGCTGAAGCTGATTGGCCCCTGAAGTGTCACTCACAGATTCGAAATGTATCATTGGCTAATGATTAGGTTGGCCCCTCTTATGCCCCTGTGTTACACAGAGGACTATTATGTTGCATAGAGGACACAAAGAGTAAAGAAATAATTAAAGCTTTTAATACTTCAAAACTCATGGTCCAGTCTGAGAGTATGTCCATGTGGTAGTGGAAATAGTGTTTAATTAGCCGGGTCGGCCAAATCCCATTCCCTATCCCAGTACTTCCATGGATAAATGTGTACTTTAATGTATCCTTCTGCCTTTGTAAAGCACTTTGAATTGCCATGCATCTGAATTCTGCTGGGTGAATCGCCTTGCCTTGTGTGGCACTGCTGGCATCTTCTCCTGTGTAGGTAGGAAGGCCATCTAGCAGCCGCGCAGGATCCTTGCGGCCTGATTCCCGGCTTCCTCTTACCGCTACGCCCGACCTCTCCCGAACTCCGACCCGGAGTGAGATTTAGCTGCGGAGCTTTACGGTTTCACTCCCCCAGGACCCTCCACTTGAATTCCTATGCTTTAGTTATGCTAATTGTGGAGTAACGGGGTGGGGGGGGGGATCCCTCCTCCTCTGTAATGGCACCTTCAGGAGTCAGTGTGGTCGGTGACATTGACTAATCTGCGAGCTGTCTACCCACCCCAGAAGAGCGCCCCACCCCGCGCAGACAGACATATGCTGCCGGTGACCAGGCCTGCTCGTACACGGGGATGGCTGATAGAGTCCCGACAGGTCATCAGACCCGGGTCACGCCGAACCCTCCTGCCGCCCATTCATCTGTCATACGCTGTGACTCCTTCCTGAGCTGCCGCAGACCTGCGAGCACTTACAGCACAGCCTAATTGGATATTACTCTCATTAACTGGAGCCTGTCCCTTGGGTGGTCTGTGGAGTTTGCCCTGATTCCAAGGAGATTTCTGCCTCTTCGACAAAGGGGAATGGAGGGGAGGAGGGTGTTGGAGGGAGTAGGGAAATACTACCTTAAAAATGTGTCCCACAGAGAAGCGAGCAAAACACATAATCAAGTGTTCAGCATCCGCAGAATGTAATGAAAAAGCACGACAATGATGGCTGCTGATGCTTCAGCCTGTGGGATAATGTCATCGAGGCCGAAATCCGTTTGTTTCTTCTCCTTTCCTGGGCCACACATTGTTAGGATGCCAGGTGGCTGACATTTTCTCGTCGGGGCGAGGTTCGTTTGCAGGCGTCCGGCCTCGCGAGGGCCTATGGTCGCCCCTGGTGATGGGAGGAATTAAAAGCAGAATTACCTTCCCTCCTCATCCTGGAAAGCGTACAGTATTTGGTCGAACGCCACGCTAACAAATGTGTCTGAGTCATCCGAGCTGCTCTTAAGCTCTGGGCTACATTGGGATGGCGAGGCTTAAATCATTAGCATTTTCTTAATTTGGCGGCGGTGGCATGAGGAGTGGAGGGGGGTTGGCTTTGTGGCCCCGGGGGTTTAGAAATCAAAGAGCCAGTCAGAAGCGAATGAAGGAATAATCCTGATCCGGTCCTTCTCTATGGGGGAAAAGCACGAGCGAGCCAAAGCACGGCCCCTCACTAGAGGCGACGGCCACATAATTCTCTAACCTCCAAAGGCCGCTATAATCCGCCGGCACAGCCTGTGTAGAGAGAGCTAGGCGGTACGGTCATTACTGGATTATAATGCAGTGTCACTGGGATTGGATTATGCTAGTCATGCACACCAGCACAAATACAGCCATAAGTAGGGACGTGCTAGCTGGGATTTAGCAGAGCACACATGGGGCGGAAGCCGTCGTCACGGTAATGAAGCGCGCCCCATCAGCACCGGCGTGCCACTACAATGTCTGCCTGCACTCCGCAGTTCGACTTCGTCAAACTCCTGGACGGGAAGCAGCTGCTGAAGCAGAATCTGAAGGGCTCCGAGGACGGTGCCGGCACATCGCGGAATCTGCTCCTGGCCGCCGCGCAGGAGACCGGATTCATAGAGTACATGGACCCGGGAACCTGGTACCTGGCCTTCTACAACGACGGCAAGAAGATGGAGCAAGTGTTTGTCCTCAGCTCTGTCATCGGTAAATATATCCGCTCCTTTTATTCGTATGGCGCCCTCTGCAGGACGGGTGGACCGTGTGTGTCGTTTCGGTCTCAGCTATACATTAGTATGGACTTCTTACAGTGTGTCATAGAAGAATACGGTGTGCAAAGAGCAAAAGAAATGTGCAGACAATATACAACATCCAAGCAATATGCAATACACTGACTGGATAATATAAAACACAACCAATATAGAGAAAGTACAATTAATTTACAGACAAAATATTATTTACAGGCTGGACAATATAAAGTAGGAACAATATACCATTTAAGGACAGTACTATAAATGTACGGGCAATATAAAATACAAACAATATACAATACACAGAGAGTACATCAAATTTACAGAAAATATACAGACAATACACAATTTACAGGCATTATACAATATAAAATACAATCAATATGCCGACAGTTCAGTGTAATCTACAGAGTGTATACGATACAATGTGCAGACAGTACAGTATAATCCAGTGACAGAGCAATAATGTAGAGAGTATAAAAATATGAGCAGTAACATAAAATGTACAGACAGTATACAGGACAGTCCACCAAGAGTGCAATGACTTATGTACAGAGCATATAGCGCAGTGTACAGAGCATATAGCGCAGTGTACAGACAGCACTATATTATATGCAGAGCAGTGCAGAGACAGTGCAGTGACAATGTGGGCTACAATATACATACATTTCACAATGTAATACAAGCAGTAAGCAATAATTAGACAAGTACATATGGTCTGTACTTGTGAATGATGGCTGTATATAGTGGTATAGCTGTATATAGGAATTTACGGCAATGTATGCCTGCATATAATTAATCAAAAAAAGTATTAAACAGCACAGCTGCGCATTTTCAAACTAGGGTTTATGGTAATAGATTAACTTGACAACATTTAATGTTATATAGCAGTGAAAATCTGAGTGCAAGACAGTATAGAGAAAGCAGTCTCGAGGTAACCTTACATTTTAAAGGTCCGTGTCAGAACCAGAGAAACAAAGGAAAATGTTGTAAACACGCTGGTGATTGTGGGGCCTGTGCATTGGAAAGCAAGTGTTACTGTTTATCCGATGAGTAAAGAAGCTTAATTCAGCACTTGTCAGCTCTATCTTGCTTCTCGATGTACCCCGAGACTGCCTTTGATGTATTATTGAACTGTTTTATTTTTTTTCTTTCTGTAGATATTCAGTAAAAAAAAAAAACAACGCTACCGCGAAAATATATTACGTTAGTTTTGAAGGCCCGCTCACTGGGAATTTGCTGCACGGATGTGCGGGTGCGCGTCTTTGAGCTTGACGAGGAGAGCAGAGCGGGAGAGCGACGGAGATCTTTGTAGCTCTCCTCCCCAAGCTGACTCTTGCTCGGAAGCGACGCCGTAGCTCTGCTTTGCCAGTGGCACTGACGTTCGGACGGGGAAACGGCCGTAATCCTGGCCTGCTTCGTGTCGCCTATTGTCCAATTAAGGCATCCTGATTGAGCGACAGGTCCTTCAGAATAGAAATCCTCCACGGCTTTCAAAGTGCCAAAACGAAAGTCTTTCAGCCTTAATTGACAGACCCTTGGTCACTCATCTTTAAACATATGCCAGGAAAGGACTGGGACTCGCGAAAACTCTCCCCATCTGCTCTGGAAAACTCTGTTTCATCTCACTCTACTGTACACAGTACTGCCGGGGTTTAAAAACTAATGTATTCAAGTCCCCCCAGGCAAGTACTGAAGTTTTGTTAAAGTTATTATTTTTCTTTGTTTTCTTTTTTTCCTTTTTCTTTGAACTGCAAAATAAATGGTGCCATTTTTTTCATCAGGTGACGAGTGGGGTTTGTGGCAGATGTGCTTTGAAATTCATATTCCGGCAGCTATTTGCATTTTTACTAATTAGCAGTTATGAGGGTACCTTACATTCGGATGTGATTATGCTTCGCTAAAGTTCACTAAATTAGTATTCCTTTCTTAGTAGCGGTATCGTGGCCATTATCGGCTCGTTAACGATGTGTAAGCGGGCGGATAAATGAACGAAAACGCCCGTCTCGGAGCTCGAGGTCACAGTGGAAACGCTAAGCTGTTCGAGTTTATCCGAGAGAGTTTTCTTTCGGGGTGTGTCAGGAAACAGGCCCGGCTGCTTTGTTCCTGAGCCACCATGCCGTTTCAATCCGCTGATGTCATCCTCACGCAGAAACCATGGATGGCTGCTCAACAGACTGTAATGGGAACGGCGAGTGCGTCGCCGGTCACTGCCACTGTTTCGCTGGATTCCTGGGGCCCGACTGCACCAAAGGTAAGCCTCATCCGGGCCGCCCATCCGGTAATTCCGTTTTGCCACCGCTGGTGCCACGGGAACAGCACGGTGAGGTTGAGAGATGCGAGGCACTGAAGTCAGGGGAAGCCACCGTGGCAGCCGGCGCACGAGCTCCACGGAGGCGTGGCTCTACTTGACACGAAATACCTGTCGCCTGCGAGAAAGTGGCGGCGGAAGAAAGTACGGCCGCGCACCTCCGACAGCTGAAGAGTCACCGTGGCGGGGGAAGCCGACAGCTGCAGAGGAGGAAGATGCGTCTCCCAGCGGCATTCGTACCTGGGCTGTGAGACGGAAGATGACAGTGATCGGTAATCTGGAGCTGCACCCTCGGAAAATTAGCATAACCATGTTTTTTTTTGGGGGGGTGGGCTGTTTCTCCGGTGGGAAGATGGTCTCGTCATTTTAATTTCTAAATGCGGCCTGATAGCTAAATCTAGAATGAACGCTAAATACTGCTGGGGAATGTAATATAAACACAGAGCTTGGAGCTAGAATCCCGTGTCCAGGCACATTTGCACTGATACCCTCGTCTTACGGAAAGATGCCTTTACGATTTTGCTTTTTATCTCCTAGCCAGATTCTTGGTGATGCATCCAATGAAACGGAACAGGACATGTATATATATATATATATATATATATATATATCATATATATATATCATATATATATATATGATGTTATTTTTTCATTTTGGAAATGAATGATATTTCTCCTGTAACATTTAACCACACATATCGTGTGTATAGTTTAACCTTATTGTTGAAGGGTTTATACTTCATCTTTGCTGTGAATACGCACGTACGCTTGTGTGACTAACACAGAAGATCCACAAAGAAACCTTGAGCGGTCCATCAATATCATTGATCATCACCAGCTTAAATCACAATGGCACTTTGCCAGTATATCAGTACAGAACAGAGAATTATTAAACATTTCTGTGATATCATAACTCGTCACAGGAATTTCTCCACCCAGAACAGCTCGCAAGACTCACAACCACTTCCAGATAACCTCTAAATCAATTACCACTATCATTTAAATGAATTTTTAAAATGATTGCTCTGAAACTATCTGTAATTTAATAAATACATCTAAAAATTTTAAGATACTTCGGAAAGATAATTTGCCTTATGGGATGTAAAGTATGTCAATATTCTCAGATATCTATAAAGAAATAGATGATATCCCATGAAATATATCCATTCAGCTAATTGCCGTCTATGTTATCTTTAATAACAACAGCAATCGCACAGCCTGAAAGCTGCATTAAAACAGTATTCTACGGATGAAAGGATCAATGAGGAGCAAACCCGCACTCCGTCCTAACAGCTTGAAAGCGTAAACCCGCGTGTTCCTGTTTGCCGCGGACGGTGGGCAGCCCAGGCCGCTGACGTCGTTCTTCTTGTGGTTTTGTGTATCGTGGCGTTGATCTGGGGCAAGACCCGTTTCTTGGCGGCGTGACCCGGAAAGCACGGGTTCGCCGAAGAGGCAGACTTTATGGCGCTAAGGACGGCACAGTTTCCAGTGAATTTCCTGCATTGGCTTCTTAGCCCCCCCCATTACGCAAATGAAGTTTATAAAAGAAAAGCTGCAGTGAATTGCACTCTGTCATTTATAAAATCCTTCTTTTTCAATGCCATTTGTTTTTCAGCGCTCCACAGAGTCAGGTCACCATTTTCTTCCGTTTGAGTTGCATCATGAGAACACTGGGAGATGATATGCGCAAATACGGAGATGCATGGAATCGTAATATAATCTTAACATGACAATATGGTTTTTATTTAATATAAAAGTAATGCTCCTTTCTTAGAGTCACGGAGAAGCTCTTCCATAGTAGAGATGTTACTCTCTAGCAGTCAGATCCAGTGAATAAAACCTTTCTTCCGTCTTTCTGGTTCATATACTCTCTCGAATGGCTTCCGCACATAGGGAAGAATAAAAACCAAATTCAACTCGTAATGCATCTCAAGGCCCCGCCCACCCCGACTCTAACCAGGTACTGGGGCCTGTGAATTGCCGTAGCAGACACGATTGCCGAAATTGGCGGGGAGCCCTTAGCGTGATGCTATCGAGACTGATGGACACCCACAGGTGTGAGGGTGGGAGCTGCCGCGCAGCGCGCTGTCTGTCCGCGGAGGAGATGGAAAAAGGCACAGTAACCGCGAGGCAGGGAAAACGCCGCTCAGAGTCACCAGTAATGAAGATCGACTTTCTTTGATGTGCAGTAAAGTCACACATTAGCACTGGCATGTTAGCTTATGCATGTACCCTGTTTATGGTTAGTTAGGTTTTTGTTTATTATTAAATTATTATTTATTCCTGGTGTATGTCCTCTTCTCTCTCTCGCTCTCTCTCTCTCTCTCTGTCTATCTGTCTATCTGCATAGCCTTTATATTTCAGTGCACCAGCTATACATGATTCATAGGTATATACAGTAAATGTCTAAGCATCCCCAACAGATCAGTTAATTATGCATGAAATACAGTGGTTACTTTATTACAGTTCACTGTAGGTAAAATGAAACACATTAGGTCCAAACTTGTTAAAGTGAAAAGCAGAAATGAAGGATGACTTCAAAATAATGAAAAGACACATGCATAGTATTCTGCATTCCTTATGGCTTATCTCTAGGTCAAATAATACCATCCGTTATTAGATCAATAGATATACATTCATTTATGACTACATAATTGTATTTGTCATGTTTTTCCATGCAAGAACCCACTGAAACAAAGTTATTGATTGGTTAAATTATATGCTTACAAGTCAATCTGAATTCACATAACATGAATAAATTTGAATTTTATGGTCCTATTTTGTTTCTTCTCTAAAAGAAAAGTAAAACTTGTATTCCTTTTTAATCTCACTAGCACAAATATTATGGTAATTGTACTTAGACCATAAATCACCTATACAAATAAAACATATAGATCCAAGACTGGATTAGCACATGGAAATTCACTTGGAAATGATTCAGGCCTCGCTCAGACGTCAGACATCATTGTGCCTGGGCGTGATTACAGCACACAGACACACTGGGGTGTGTGTTAATGAAAGCGACGCATGCATGGGGCAAAGTGATTTCAGCTCAACAGCAGCCAACAGGTCAAGCGGTCTTGCGATGAGTCAGCCGAAGACACCATGCGAACAGCAACACCAATTCCACACGCTCCAACGAGAGATTTTTGTCATTGTGCTGCTGCCAGACTGGGGTGATGTTGGAATTTTAAGACGACAGGGGCTTAACCCCCAAGACCTAACCTGTACGAGGGCCATCATATTGAATTCTCTCTCTGAAGTTCCGTTGATTGTACCGTTACGGGGGGGTTTCGGTAAAGCTGCCCCAAACTAAGACTTCTATGATGTATGGAGTTCTCAAACTGAGAGCATGGCTGTTAAAGCATCTGAGCGAAACTAATCATTTGCGGCTTGTTCAGATTCATTTAGGGCTTCTGCCCCGGATAACCTGCCTTGTGATGTGTGGCCTTCTAAAGTTACATATCTCAGCGAGGATCCGTCATCGGTGGAGTGGGTTGGTGGCCCTAAATGCCTTTGATTTGGGGCTTTACTGAGTGATGCCAATACACCTACTCTCCTCTCACCTTCATGAATACCATTTTCCATGCCGCGTTCTCCGGGAGCGTAAAGGCCGGATCGGGAATGTTGGCCTCTTGGATTCCACTCAGGTGGAAACCAGAACAGCATGCACATTGACTAAATGTGACAGGATGGGCGGCTGAGTCCTGCAGAATGGCCCTCCATAGCCCAAGCGTGTGGGTATTGCGACGTTTTGCATTTTTCTGTACACAGCTGGTGACCGATCTGATGGATTCAGGCACCAGAAAACCCACGTAAGCACTCTGTGATTTATATGTGGGTAGGATTCTTTTTTTAAAAATGCAATGCTACGTCAACAGCAGTTGGGTTTGCCATGCGTGTGGGAACCAAAAAGTTGCCTGTTCAAAACTCGCAATGGGGCCCTGCTGTTGTACTCGTTTGAAGGCACTTCATACGGATGGCTTCAGTGGAATCGTCCAGCTGCATAAACGGGCAGCGAAGGTCGCTTCGGATGAAGGAGCCAGCAGCCTGAATTATTTATCAGAGCGGGCAACTTCATTTGGTAATGCTAGGTAGGTTCTAGGTAGATCCTCCTCATTCCCCAGTAGTTCTGTTTACAGAGAGAGCGTGGGGCGCAACGTTCAGGCAAGGGGGGCTTCGAGGGACGCCCTGTGAACCCAAATGCACCATGTCGTTGCAGACGCCTGTCCGGTGTTGTGCAGCGGAAATGGGGAGTACGAGAAGGGCCACTGCTTGTGCCACCCGGGTTGGAAGGGACCGGAGTGTGATATCCAGGAGGACCAGTGCATCGACCCCACCTGCTCCAATCATGGGAACTGCGTCCAGGGCACCTGCGTGTGCCACCCTGCCTACAAGGGCGTCAGCTGTGAGCAAGGCGAGTGCCGTTAAATGCCCAGGCCCTGGGAAAGAAGCCATATTACCAAAACGCACAATTAAGAGTCTGAATCGGGGCTGAGCTGAGATTAAAACTCAGCCTTGGACTTCGGGGTTTCCCATGGCACCGTGATGAATTTTGCCAACCGTGGAGGTGGGAAATGCATTTGCCAGCCCTCATACCATACAAAATGCCCGCCATGCCAGATGGCCAGTCCAGCCCTGCTATCACTCATGACAAAGTTTTGACTGGGATCTTGTCAGACAAGGAAATGCATTGTAGCCTGATCCGCTTATGCCCCATTAAATTTGTGCAATTTAGTTAATAATTTTTGAGTTTATATTACCAGATACAAAGCAGGACAAGACCACAGTGGTCTTGCTGACTTCTGCTTTCCATTGTATTATGGTCACACATGATCATTCATCAATAGCTGATGAGCTAAATAATAATAGATGCGCGGCTGTCCAGAATCGGGGCATGGGCAGCGACTTCGAGCTGCGTGGCACCGGACACTTTGCTGACGGGTGAGAGCACCGCAGTGATTGCAGTGCTTAAATAAAGCCAGTTTTGTGAGCCGTGGTTTACGGCAGGGATGTTTTTAAGTGTAACCGAATGATAAGCAGTTAACTGCCCTGAAACATAGATTGTGTTGTGGCTTGTTAACTTTTGATGAGAGCCTAGTTAGAGGAGGCAGCATTTTTATACTCGAATGGCTATGAAGTTATATATATATATATATATACACACACACACATCCATCATACAGCAATGATTCTTATTATGATTCTTATTGTATTTAATGTGGATGACTGAGCAATTAGCGCCAGGTTTCCACGAGCACTGTAACCACGGTGACTCGCAGTGGGGGCGGCTCTACCTGCCAGTAGCCGGCTCGGTGACGGACCACGCCTGTCCATATGGCACCCTGACTTGTCGCCCTGCCGTCTCTCTGCTGCAGTGGACTGCCTGGACCCCCAGTGCGCGGGCCACGGTGTCTGTGTGAAGGGGGAGTGCCTGTGCTCGCCGGGCTGGGGGGGTGCCGGCTGCGAGACCCCCATGCCCTCTTGCCAGGAGCAGTGCTCTGGGCATGGCACCTACCTGCCCGACGCCGGGACGTGCACCTGTGACCCCGGCTGGACCGGCTCCGACTGCTACACAGGTCAGTACCACCCCGACCCCAATTAAAAAGCCGCCATACTTCTGGGATGGGGCAACGCAGCACTAATTGTGCTAGAGAAGGTTCCGGAACAAGATACCCCACGTGCTTCTGCGGACAGACGCGTGCGTTTTCGCGCCTCGTGAGGGATGCTGATTACACTGACCCGCCGCTGACATCGCGGATGGAAAACCGTCCGCGTGGCTGACCATCAACACATCATCTTCTCCCCATGCTGAGTGTAAATTAGCTGCTCCCCAACCCCACCATCCACCTGACCGCCGGTGTGTCCGCGCCGCGTCTTCGCCCATCCTCGTGGTCTGTTGAGCCATGTGTCTTTGCGCAATTTTTTATTTATTTTTTTTGGTAACTTAATTTTCGGTTTGAAATCTTCAATCTCCCTCACGCATATTGGGAATCGCGCTGTTGTTACATGCAAATGAATGTCAATTCCTGCCCCGGGAAAGTATCAGCAAGACTTGTTTGCAAATGAATAAAACTCCTCCAGGGAAATTTAGATTGCTTTTCACTAAAATGTATTTAAATAAATTTCCTTACACTACGCTGAAGCTCGGCGGTGGCCCGGTTTCTCACTCGCGTCGTCTGTACAGTCATGTCCTCATTCGGTTTGGCTTCTAATTGAACATATCGACCCCTGACTTTTAAATTGTGGTCAGGGCTGTAAACAAAAGTGTCTCAGGTGATTTTTGGTTTGTGACTCATGCATATTTTGAAATTTCTACGTTTAATTCTAGACAAGTGTGAACTCCGAAGTAGGAATTGTGGTGTTTTTTTTTCCTTTTGTGTGACATAGTGGCTCAGTGGGTAGTATTGTCACGTCGTGCCTGGAGGGTTGGGGGTCCGATTCCCGCCCACGCTCTGTGCGTGTGGAATTTGCACCTTCTCCCCATGTTGTGTTGGATTCCTTGTGGCAATATAATTTCCTCCTCCCACAGGCCAATTCCACACAGTTAGGCAAAGCAGTGTTTGGAAATTGTGTGGGTGTCTGTACCCTGCAATGGACACAAATTCCATTAGGGTGTGTCCTGTGCATTCTGGGATAGGCTCCAGGCCCCACTCAGCCCGGTACTAAGTGCTTATAGAAAATGGATGGATGTACATATATATTATATGATTTTCACCTTTTCACTTTGGCTGGAAACGGGTTTCTGTCAGTTTATTTATTTATGTTTTTGGAGGTCGTTTATATGCCGTGCATGTATATAAGATTTTCACCTTTGCTTTCAGAAATTCAGTGAAGCCCTATGAAGGTTTCTGTTCTGTACTGTTTTGTTGTATTCTGTATGGGAGGGGGTAACCCACACCCCTGCCACCATTTCCCCCCCCCCACCCCCGGTTTTCTGCCCGTTATGTCCTCGGCGAGATGTGAATGCTGACAAAGGACAATGGTGTGCTGTGTGGGTAGTTTATATATATATATATATATATATATATATATATATATATATATATATATATATATATATACAGTATATATGTATGTATGTATGTATGTATATATATGTATGTATATGTATGTATATTTATATATTTATGTATATGTACTGTATGTATGTGTATATATATGTATGTGTATTATTTATATATACACACACACAGTGTTACCTCGGTATATGTCCGCTTTGGAATAAGTCCAACTTGGTATACGTCCTGCTTGGACGCGAAAAATTTTGCTTGGTATACGACCTTTGTTTGGAATACAACTCGTGAACTTCTATGGGTCAAAATGAGTCCCGACGCCGCGCGCTGCCCTTGTTTACCTCCTGAGACAAAGCCACGACTGCGCACCAGCGTCAGTGAGCCAGTTGCTACCATTCAGTGAACAACCCGCTTTATAACTCTTTTCTAATTGCTTTTGTATTTGTGTACTTTAGTATTAAGCAGCGTTTAAATAATTTTATACAACCCCATCAATGTATAATATGCCAATAACAATAGAATTTTTTTCATGGGAACGGATTAATTATTTTCCCTTTATTTCTTATGGGAAAAATTTGTTTGGTATACGTCCTGTTTGGTATAAGTCCAAGGACCTGGAATGGATTAAGGACATATACCAAGGTACCACTGTATGTGTGTGTGCGTGTGTGTGTGTGTGTGTTTATATATATATATTGTTTTTCCTTTCTTCGTTTTGGGGGATTTTTATTTTGTTTTTCAGAAAGTAGCAAGAAGTAGCTAGAGTAACTGATGGCTTGCGCAAATACAGAAAAAACTCAGGCACGATGATGATGAAAAACAGGCTTTTTAATGGTGTATAATGGAAGCTCGTAGACAGGAAAACAGAAAATGTCGACATGGCCAAACTCTCAAAGGCCTTTTCCGGGAAAGCTGGAGTGGTAGGGCTGGGCCGTACTGGGTCCTGAAAATGGGGCTCTGACGTGTTTTCCGGCACCCAGCAGAGCCCGGCGGCCTGACCCACGAGTCTGATGAGCGCATTAGTGCAGAATCATTAGCAGGAGGTCAAGGGAGAAAAACAGAGGGACCACAGAAAGTTCAGGAGAGAAAACCAGGGGACGACAACAAGGCACCATCCAAAATGTCATGGAAATGAAAGGAATCAGGTGGATTCAGGAAGTACAGTGCATCAATGTATATAGACTCACATACATAAAATATAATGGGCGGCTTGTAAGATTAATATGTGTCCTGCAATGTTCTGTCACCCCAGGGTCTCCCCTGCCTTGCATTCTGGAATAGACTCCAGACTCACTATACCAGGGAGCTGGTTACAGATGGATGGATGGATGGATGGATGGATCTGATAAAACTACTATGTAGAAATGTATTAATACATATAGTATTTTACTATCCCTGAGTAAAAAGATTTAAATACTCTTTAACAAACTGTTTTGCACCTGGGTCTTTCATTTTAAGTTCCATGCAGAAAGGCTGGTTTGAGAAAGGAGTTCTCTCTGTTTAGTTTTTTCTTTTCTTAAGTTACAGACTGAGACTTACTCATTTAGTGATAGCAGGTGCTTGTGGGCCAGATGTAGCAAACGTAAGAAAAGCCTGTCTTTGTTTTCCCTGTATGTTCATTCCGCTTCTTTAAATTCTGGGAAAAATATCTGGCATTTATGCCACCGACGTGGTGGGAAAACTTGGCTCATTACCATAACGCTTCAAAGCCTCGGGTGTAAATTTTTATACGTTTGCCATCTGTCAAATTATAGACTTTAACTTGGTTTCTGCAAACTTGTAAAAATACAGAGGAGGGAAAAGTCAGCATCAAGGTCAGATAGGAATGACACTTTGCTTTATATATATATTTTTTTTTTTTCTTCAAAAGCAGCTCTCACGTCCCCCCACCCTTGTCCCAATGGGCAGGTGGGGGGGGGGGGGGGGGGGGGGGGGGGGGGGGATGAGGGTGGAGGCTAGCTCATGTGAGAATGTGTTTGTTCACACATCCTCTGATTTTCGTGTCTTGCAGTAAGACAGTGTCCCTTAAAATGGCCCCTAATTTTATTTGTTTGTTTTTTTTTTTCTAATGTGCACGATGTTCCCAGATTATCTTCTGTGACGTGACGTTTCCTAATAAACCGCATTTACTTGGGTTACAGGAAAACCGCTTTAACCTCACCAGACATGCTGCGCCTGCAGGTGTCACGATGTCGGGCATCCTGATCCTGCTCTGGATGGAACCCAGTTGTCAGGGTGTCGCGGGGTGACACCTGCGATTCGGCCCGTATTAATATATTAACATTGACTGTGTAAATGAATCAAGGAAGTATAAAGCAGTGGCTTTTCTGGCTGAAAAGTCCTGCAACTTGTCTCTTTCTTTAATGGTTTAATTACGAACGAGGGTGTAGATTTGGATACGGATACCGATATTGTAGGAGAACCATGTGTATTTAGGGGGGTGGGGCGGTTGGGGTTGATTTGATCCCTTCCAGTGTTGAAACCAAATCTGCACCCTTGATTATGAGCTCAACCGTCAGAGTTTCAGTGTGTCTGTCTGTGTGGGGTTCTGCTTCATTCTAACAAAGTCTGTATTTAATATTTAACAAAATATGGTTTGCTGGTACGATTACTCTGTTACCGGTAAACTATCAAAGCAACAGAAATTTAAAGAATTGAAACTAAAACTGAGCAAAACTTTTTGTTTTGTTTTTTTTAAGGCAGGTTTGGTGGTGTAATTAACTGCAGCCATAGTGGCCCTTGTGACTCTGAAAGTCATTAAAAGCAACGTTTAATTTTAGTGCATCTCAGTAAGCGACCTCCATGTTCACCTCACCTCTCGCCTCATCCACTTGCGAATCAAGCGAAGTCTTGCAATACAAGCACCGAATTTTCTTCTTCTGACGAGTTGTTATTTATTCTGGGCTGTTTAATTGTGCGACTACTCCGGCCCAAGATACTCGCATAATGTTCTTTAACGCTTCATTCTCTTCGGCTCTTTGCATTCGTTGGAAATCTGCACCTAGGCTGATGGGAAGAGATTGGCTGTTTGCCTTCTGCAGGATCTAACGTTTTCAGTTTGATTGTTTTCGCGGAATGCCGCGGTTTTTACACCTGGGCGAGGGGGATTTGTAGACCTCCGTTGCATGCAAAAATTGTCTTTTAGAGATGGGTTGCATGCTTTATTCATTTCATCCACCCCTTTTTTTTTCACTCTCCTCTGTTGTCTTGTAGGTTTTCTTTCTCCCCTCTGACCACTAACGCCGTATAAAATCGAATACCGTCGTCCATCTCTGGTGCCGTCCTTAATTTGCTCCAAATCCAATTGCAGTCGCTACATCTCTGTTCAGCTGCTCCCGGGCTGGTCGCCTCAGGAAGAGACACCACCTGGAGCCTAAGTGGATCACGAGCGGCCCGGTAAATGGGTTACGTGGTGCACAGACAGGGTTGGGGTCTGTGCCACCTCGCCTCACCCCTGGCCCTTTCGCTCCCCTGCCCGCCCCCTGGCCCCCGTTTCGCCCCGCAGAGCTGTGCCCGGTGGCCTGCGGCAGCCACGGCGTGTGCTCCGAGGGCCGCTGCCAGTGTGAGGACGGCTGGGACGGGCCGGCCTGCGACCAGCGCGCCTGCCACCCCCGCTGCGAGGAGCACGGCCAGTGCCGCGACGGCCACTGCGAGTGCCACACTGGCTGGGAGGGCGAGCACTGCACCATCGGTGAGCTGCATCAGAAAAACAGGCGGCCCCCCCGCCCCATCGCTGCCTAGGAGCGCCAAGCGCACTGCCTCCCATTCATCTCACATCAGGCTGTTTCTTAGTCAGACCACCCCTGAAAGAGTCCTTTGAACAATCACACATGTTGCTTCATGAGATAATGACATGCAGCTTTTCAGATTGAGCTTAGGAGTCCATGTGCGTCCCCTGCATTTAAATCGAGGAATTAAAAGTCCTTTTGCCTCTCTAGACAAAAAAAATTATAAAGCGTATTGGACGTTAATAAAAGCATATGATTTTTTTCCAGAGAGTCTGAGTGTGTAAGGCAGACATGCAGTGTGGTGTAATGCTTCTGTTCTCTATTTCACTTGCAGCACACTTCCTGGATGCCGTGGTTAAAGGTGGGATTCTCAATCACGCCGATAATATCATCACAGATCCATTGTGATGGGTGAAGCGACGTCTGGGCTTTGGGGATCGTGACGGGTGCTGGGCGTGTGTTTCAGACGGATGCCCGGGCCTGTGTAACGGTAACGGACGGTGTACCCTGGAGCAGAACGGGTGGCACTGTGCATGCCAGGCTGGCTGGAGTGGAGCGGGCTGCAACGTTGTCATGGAGACGGAATGCGACGACAACGTGGACAACGACGGAGGTAGAGTTGGTGTGCCAACCCGCCCCCCCCCCGTCCATCTCTGCCCTCGCCGTCTGTGTTTCAGTGTCTGAATCATCACTGTGTAGGGGGTGTTCGAGGGTGCCCCCAGTTGCATGGGGTTCGTGAGTCTCGACAAAAACACCGGCGCCGTGGGAGCAACATCTCCGTGATCTTCCTCCTCCTCCTCCTCCTCTGAAACAGCTCTTCATCCTGTCGAAGTAGCTTAATGCCTCTGATGCGTTTCTGTCTTGCTGAGATAACACACAAGCTTTTTGGAGGCAAAAAAATGTTCCCTCCAAATGAAAACCTACTTTATTCCACTTTGCTGTCTTACTGCTGAGTGAAAAATATATTTTAGAAGAAAAAAAAACGCAGACTGATCGATGGAAAGAAAAGAAAAAAACGAACAAGCTTTATTATATATCATCTGAGCCATTTCACTTAACCGAAAACATGACTTAATACCTGTGTTTCTACCTGGGACGTATTTCCTTCCTATATCTTAGCCATCTCTAGTGAAGAAACTATTTACGATTCCATTTCCTCCATTTTTATCTTAAAGTGGTTTGCAGAGGAATATGCACATATTGCCCTCAAAAGGAGACAATTACGAAAACTTTGCAGAATGTGAACTGAACTGAAAGGCATTTGATGACAGCAGATTTAAATGTCATTTGCTCACCTGGTAACCGTGAATAAGAGAGCAGAAATCCAATTTAGATTCTTTTGAATAAGAAGGCGTGCGGAAAATGCCGTTGCCTCCAGAACAAACTACAAATTAAAAGCTAGCAAAGATTGAATTGGTAGCAGGGATAGCAATGGGGCAAATTTCTCTTAAAAAAAATTATGAAAATGGCCAAGACTGTCACAGCAACTAGGCTTATAAATCCTGTATTTAGTGTCTGTGGGTTATTAGTCATGTATATCTTTATTTTAGCTTGGTATCATGGCTACATTTGGTCGCTGCATATGCAAATGGTATTTTTGTGATGTTACTTTGCGTGAGTCAAGGTTATCGTTAAACAAAATTGGCGGGAAATGGTACTTAATTCAAAAAGGGGGCAAGCCAATGTACATATCTTGTGTACAAAAAAATGCTGAACGCTAAAGCTAAATCGAAATAGGTCACACGAGTAACTAAAACTACCTTAAGAATGACCAACTTGACTAAAGTTAGCTGACCTGATATGTAAATTGAATCCAAGCGCATTTCACATCAAGCCAGGTGGAAAGTGAGACAGCTAGCTTTGAACCGGCCAGATGCGCTTGCACAATCAAGACAAAACACTCAGCTGTTTCCAAATTACTCACCTGCAGCATCTACGTCCGAATAAGACCTACATTTTAATCCTCATCTGATTGAGACCTCATTAAATATGCCATTTGTATACCGAATGAGGCCTCATTAAGACTGCAGTTAGTAAAACTAAATGGCAATTAATGACCTTACACAAATAAAGTGATTAAGAGATAATGAAGTTTCCAGCCATCTGTACGTTGCTGACTTTATAAATCTTGCGCCCGTCATTAGAAAGGCAGGTGTCGGGGGGCAGTATTTTGAGGCGTGTGTTGTTTTGAAGTTGTTCATTCTACTATACGTAGCTCGGCCGGATGTCGTCCTGGTACATCGTGAGGTCTCCCGAGGTCGCGGTGGGCCGGCAAACACGCACAGCTGGGCCCGGGTGTTCTCTTGTCAGCCTCCTGCCGATCCTCCGCAATCTGCTGCCCCCCGCGTGCCCTCAGTTAATGAAACACAGCTGGCCCTGATTTGATAGTTGACTCTGGGCTTTAAACTGGGTCAGCTGGGCGGCCGTGCCGGGTCTCGGAGGATTTGCTGTGTTGCTGGTTTGCATCCAGTCCCTTCTAGCTGTTTTGGTGTGTGTTGTATGTGTGTGTATGTATACATGTATGTATGTATAAACTCAGGTGCCTCCAACCTTCCCATGTGACGTAACCTCCCAAAGTAAACCTTTAATTTGTGGATGAAGCTCGTCGCTCGCGGGAGTTTTACTTGCATAAAAATTTTCAGAGGGCAGCACAAAAAAAATGATTGGTTCAGAGAGATAACCAATCAGATTGTAGAGGAGGTGGGTCCAAACAACTAGAGGAAACAGGACCAAGACAGCTGATTGGTTGGTCCCGCCTCCTTTAGTTGCACGGACCCACCATCTCTACAGTCTAATTGGTTATCTCTCTGAACTAATCATTTTTTGTTAATTTTCGTCCAAACATTTTTGTGTAAGTGAAACTCCCATGAGCAAGTTTGCCAACAGGATAAAATCATCCCCACTTTCCCTTCGGAAATTTCCCCCATGAAATTACACAGAAGATAAAAAAAAAAAAAAACAGTGTTACATAAAATATGGCGCTATATATTTTCATTTATTTAAAGGAGACAGGCTACTGAGCTGGCGTGCCAAAAGCTTTCCGCTTCTACCTCTGTAGTTTCCCCATGAAGTCATAACTCTGTACTCTTATAATAGCACATTTTGAACATCACATAACGATGTAGCTTTTCCCACTTGATATTCCTTGCTAGTTTTGTTTCCTGTCATTGTTAAAAACCAAACATTTTTCATTAAACCAATTCTTTCTATATGGCGTCACTTTCTGTTTTTAATCATTTTTTTAAGTGTCAGACTCATGCATATCCTGAGAAAGTAAATAGTCTGGCTCTGGTTATATTATAATTGCGTTTAACCCCTTGGTAGTGGTGACCTAAAACATGTTTGCTTAGCCGCCAGCTATGTCCTAATTTTCATTCGTTATAATCTTTTACAAATAAGCCAGGCCCAGAGTTAATATTAAGCCTAAGAAGTTGGAGGCCTAATTTATTTAGGAAAACTTTGTTGTGAACTGGAGGGAAAAAAATGTAATTAGATTTTGAACTGGGGGCAGGTTTATCGTGTGAAGCAGGAATGTAACGAGCGTTATAGTTCAGCATGGTGATCTTTTAGGGTATCAGAGCACCAAACCTGTGATACATTAAATACAACGCAGGCTCTGCTTTCCACAAGAACTGTCAGGTTTTATTCTATCCTTAAATGAAAATGACCGGGGGGGTGGAAATCAGGTCTTTCCAGGACTTGTTTAACATTTTTCTATTTAACATGCAACAACCTATTAATTGACAGCTAAAATAAATGACAATGAAACATTCTGCCTTCAAACAATTTCCATTCGCATTTAGATTCGTAAGTAAGTGGCTCGTTGTTAATTCGGTTGTTTTTGTGTCTATGTTAATGCAACGTTCCACTTAAGCAAATGGAAATCCATCAAGGAACTGACATGCACAACTATCAGCCACCGAAAAACAGGCATTATTTGGCAAAGTTATAATGTTCCAGAACACAATGTACAATTCTTTCAGTACTGGGGAAGAAAAGACAGCTGGTTGGATGGAAAGTTCTACAATTAGATGGAAGATTCTTCAAATCTATGGAAAGTTCTATAATTTCATGGAAAGTTCTGTAGTTTACTAGAATGTTCTACATATTAACTTATCAGATATTAACTTACCACCCCCCAGTCTTTTACCTTTGTCACCCCTTCAGTTGTCATCTTCTAGCATCAACACCCAGTGTTGTGCATGAAAGTGTTAAATTAGTGCCATTCCTTGAACATGCTCATATTTTGAGTGAACTGAACAATCAGTTTGCAATTAATAAATGAGAGCATAAGGGTTGTTCACACTGGTGAGAGTGAACGACGCTCATCACACCAGAAGTAACAATAATAATTACTTGCTAAAAATGAACTTTCATATTGTGATATGAAATACAATGCATTAGCCTACGCTGTCTCAGAATCGGCACTGTTTTGGATATGATTATGTGATGATTTTGATTTTCCCGCGCGTTCCTTGTCTTGATTAGTGTCGATGTGCTCCCATGCGCTAGTAGTGAATCTCACCACGTGCAGATTCATTTCAATTCCACCTCTCCGTCTGGGCGCTTAACTTTTCTTGTCACTGTCTGTGTGTGTGTATGTCTGTGAGTCTATACTGTATATATATATGATCTTGTATGTTCAAAGGAACACATAGCTGGCCCGATTATTGTTGTATAGTTGCTCTCACTGCAAATAAGGCTGATATGACCAGTTTATTGTTGCAAAATACCAAGAGGACTGTTTGCGACCAACTCTGCTGTATGTGTGTGTTTGCGTGTGTGTGTTTTAGATGGATTAATGGATTGCGTCGACCCAGACTGCTGCCAGCAAGCCAGCTGTTACAGCGGTCCTCTGTGTCAGGGGTCCCCTGACCCGCTGGACCTCATCCAGCAGAGCCAGACCCCTTTCGTGCCTCTGCCCCCCCGCCTCTTCTTCGACCGCGTTCGCTTCCTGGTGGGCAAGGCCAGCACCCACGTCCTTCCTGGGGACATCCCGTTCGACAGCAGGTGTGTCCGATGCAGCGGTGCGTCCGACAGCACCGGGAATTGTTTTTAATTGTGTATTTCTTTCGGGGGGGGGGGGGGGAACTCTGCTGTAGTAACTCATTAAATAGTCTGGACTTTCTGCAGCAAAATATTATAGTGCCACATTATCCTAGGAGGTAAACTGTTTGCGTGCTCCGCGGGTATTTTTAGCCGTGGACTGGAGATGCGCTCTTCCATCGTCGTTCTTCAGTCGTCTCCTACGCTCATCTGTGACTATTCAGCTCGGTCTCAACTTTTTGTGAACCCGCGGCTGTTGCTCCCATCTGGTACATGGATGGGTCACTGGTTCTTCACGTCTGCCTCATGCTCTCAAGGATGGCTGCATGGTTTGTCCTTATGGTCCAAATCCAATAAAGTAAATTTTAACACCCAATAGCTGCCCTCATTCAGACTCACATGTGAATCATTTGGATTGGTTAGTATGTTCTAATTGCTCGTGCCTTGGTTGTGCTGTGGTAGCTGAGACCTTGTTCTCATAGACCCACGAAACGGCTGCTTTTTGCCATATTCAGCTAGGATGCCATTCAAGCTCTCACTCATTATTTCCCATCATGCATCATGCCCGAAGCCTTAAATTGCCTCGCAAGGAGAAAAGCTTGTCTGTTTAAGGTCTAATAGATGGCTACAAAAGGATTGAAATGCATAAATTGCTTAATTAATTAGAGTCTTAATTAAAGTCCAAGTCGTATACATTATCACGTACTTATAAGATCTCATTTGTGGAATATGCAAATGCGTTTGCTAATAGCACAGCACATGACTAATTAAAAATCTTAGTTCATAATAATTGCGGAGCTCTGTGATTCGTGAGGTCGCCTTCCCGGTCGGCCTTTTCGGCTTCGCCGGTCCGTTCCATTAGCTGCGCCGTCTCTGACCGGCAGGCGGGCCTCGGTGATACGCGGTCAGGTGGTGGCGCTGGACGGGAGTCCGCTGGTGGGGGTCAACGTCAGCTTCCTGCAGCACCCGGAGTACGGCTTCACCGTCAGCCGGCAGGACGGGAGGTGAGCTGAGGCCGCCGTTCACATGTAGGTCATCCTGTGCCCTGTCGCTTCCCTTTGTTCTGCTTTCCGTGTGGCCTGGAAACTTTTTGAATATTTTTAAGGGAAAAATCTGTGCCATCATCTATATACAGTATGTGATATATTCACTATTCTTCAGTAAATCAATGTTAATTTTTATTATGGGTTCATATTTGCTTTTTTTTATTATATAGTTTTGACCTAGTGGCCGCTGGGGGAATTGCAGTCACCCTCGTCTTTCAACGTGCCCCCTTCCCTACCAAGAGGAAGACCGTCTGGTTGCCCTGGAACCAGTTCGTCGTCCTGGATAAGGTCACGCTGGACCAGGAGGAAGTCCCGCCCCCGGCCTGCGATGCCAAGAGCTTTGCCAGCCCGTATCCCGTGGTCCTGCCTTCCCCTCTCACCAGGTTCGCTGCAGCCTGCGTGGAGAGGGGACCAACCGTCCCAGAGCTGCAGGTACTAAGGGGGCCCGTCACTGACGCTCACCGTGGCTGCCAATGTTGAGAACATGCCTGCGGTTCAGACTTGGATATATGGAACTAAATAAAGATTGTGATTTTACATTCATATATATATCCATCCATCCACCCACCTATCTTGGGCAGGGGGGCCTAGATCCAAGCCAGCACAAGGCACAAGGCTGGAGCGCAGCCTGAACGGGATTCCGGGGTCTGATGCAGGATTCAAAAATATTAGTAGAAAGATTAAACAGTCATAACAATGTGTCAGTTCCTGTACAGGCCTACACTGTAATGGTCCTCCTGTGTATGTCACCATTGTTTATCTCATGTGTTATAACTGAATGTTTGACTTTGTCCTGCGGTGACATTGCAGCATGTTAAAATAACAGTATAATAATCATTAATGTTTGTCTAGAGAGCATGTGTGTATGAAAGGAGTAAAGTGTAAGGAATGTGTTACAGTTTTTGAAGAGTAACATTCAATCATTAGGATAATTCCGCTATCTGCCGATGCCGACGTTCCCGGATATGTATCCCCGTATTCGCATCGCCGGTTTTCCGCACATCTGAGCTGCCTTTTCATTCTCGCTTCCCCAGTCATCCTGCTTGTTTGCTGGGTTCTATGTCGTATCTTGGAGCTTCTTCTTGCACTAATTATCTGTCCGCGTGCACCTCCACACATCTGTCATCCGCCCGTCCTGTTCCAGCGCCCCAGACGTCGGGGCTTGACAAACGCGCGTCGCGCAGCCAGTGCGACTAGCGCGAAAGGCCGGGACGCGTGGGCGAGTTGCGGCGGCGGCAAGGGCGGGGGAGGCTTTCGCGGGAGACGCTCCAGCGGGATCCAGGGGCGATTAGAGAAGACGGATGTTTTTTCAGCCAGCGCTAAGTCTCACGCTAGATGAGGTGTATCTTCGTCAGGTTGAGAGATGTTCTTGGCACAATTAAAAAAAAAAAAAATGCGCCACACGTGTCAGGGCACGCTTACAGGGTTGTGGGGTCAAATCCCACACTTGTTCTGCATGTGTGGAGTTTATTTAGTTTCCTTGTTCAGCACAGCCTTCCACCCACAGTCCAGGTGTCTCAATATTACTAATAGCGCGTGATCTTGTGTGTGTGTGTGCGTGTGTGTGTGTGTGTGTGTGTGTGTGTGTGTGTGTGTGTGTGTGAATGCGTGCTGTGCGATGGACTGACATCCCATCAAGAGTGTGGCCTGTCCTACCTGGGATGAGCTCCAGGCCCCCACAGCCCTGGGTTGGATGGATATTTAAAAAAATGAATGAATATAAAAAAAAATGAAAAAGTAATAGATATTACAAATATAAAAAGTGCTTGACAGTTAAATGGATACGAGTCGCATGCAATCGGAGCAAAGTCCAGCCTGCGTGTTTTTTTTTTTACCCTTGTGATGTACTCTGAGCGGATTAGGTGGATGGGAGGGCATTTCCGCACTGTCCCGGGGCCAAGTCTCTCCTCATTTAAACGTGACTGTCCTGGCCTGCGGGGGTCCTCAGTCAGTGGGGAGCTTTGCTGACTCGACAGCGCCGGTGGGTAGGTCCCCAGTACCACTAATAAGCGGGCGGGGGAAGAAGGCTCCTCCCGCATCAACACACAGCTCACGTTTACCAGAGGACGGCGCCGACCCGCATCACACCTGAGGGGGGGAAGGATCCGGAATGAGATTCAGCATGAACAGACAGGGAGGTAACGCGGTTCGGGAGCAGGGAAGAGGGCAGGGGGCACTGAACAAAACTGCCTTTCATAGAATGAAGAATAATCGATTTAATCAATGTTAGTCATTCGAAAAACCCCTGGATATCCTAGCAAGAACAGGAAATGTATGTTTTATTCCAGGCAGGTGGCAGTGAAGCACGGCCGCTTCAGCACTGCATTCTGACAGCAGCTCTGCTTGTTTGTTTGCTGACGTCATCCACTGTGGGGAGAAACACGGTGTTGACAGGCTTAGCCAATGGGCCTCAGCGAGCCGCCTGTCGTCCTGTGGTCACTGGTGTGAATGGTGACGGTTGCCCCCCCCCCCCCTCTCACCCACTGTCTCATTGCCGCCACCTGCAGGCCGTGCAGGAGAACATCGCCATTCCTGGCAGCTTCATGAAGTTGAGCTACCTGAGCACGCGCACGCCAGGCTACAAGTCTCTGCTGAGGATCATCCTGACCCACTCGGTCCTCCCGCTGGGCCTGACCAAGGTGCACGTGTCCGCCGCCGTCGAGGGACGCCGCTTCCAGAAGTGGTTCACCGCTGCCCCCTGGCTAGTGTACCTGCTTCCCTGGAACAAGACCGACATCTATGGCCAGAAGGTGTCCGGCCTCACGGAAGCCGTCGGTATGTCCGTCCGTCTCCCCGTCGCCCCCTGCTGGTTAGTGATGCCTTGCAGGGTGAAGTCATAATTTCCTCCAAAAGCAGTTTGCGAACTGGAATTCATTAAATTTATTTACTGAGTAATCGAGCGCGCTGGTGGATGGGCTGACTGTGTAACACTGAACCGGCCGGGGATAATTATTCCCGACGATATCAGTGTGACACGCTTTTCCCGAGGCGCCGCTCCGCCACAGGATTTGATATAACTTATCAGCCGCCAGTTAAATCTGACGCTTTTTATTCTCAGCTGCGTCCCCCCGTCGTATTAATTATGGAAAACCTATTTGCAATTATAAAGTTCTTTGATTAGCGTTTTGCTAGGGCGCTTGATTGACACCAGTGTGTTCGGCGTCGTGCGACTGAAAAGCTGTTGACGTGAACGGGCTTTAAGTGCTCTTTAAGTGTAGCCTTTCTGTCCATTGTGTACCAATGAAGGAGTTTTATTAATGGAGAGCAAAGTATATCTTGTTTCACTGCCCCCCCCCCACCCATCTTGTTTTATAAAGTCCTCTGATTAATTTAAGAGCTCTCGTATGTGACGATACGGCCTCCACCCAAGCTGAAAATCAGACCTGGTGCTGTGATTGTGTCTGTTAGCAGGAAAACACAAAAGGGTTGATTTTATGTTAACTCTCCATGTATCCATACCTGCCTCTAGCCCAGATCATGTGACCTTACTAACAGATACACCAATTTCCCTGGGGTTTATATTTACTGGACATTTTTATCCATTGCAATATGCACTCACCTAAAGGATTATTAGGAACACCTGTTCAATTTCTCATTAATGCAATTATCTAATCAACCAATCACATGGCAGTTGCTTCAATGCATTTAGGGGTGTGGTCCTGGTCAAGACAATCTCCTGAACTCCAAACTGAATGTCAGAATGGGAAAGAAAGGTGATTTAAGCAATTTTAAACGTGGCATGGTTGTTGGTGCCAGACGGGCCGGTCTGAGTATTTCACAATCTGCTCAGTTACTGGGATTTTCACGCACAACCATTTCTAGGGTTTACAAAGAATGGTGTGCAAAGGGAAAAACATCCAGTATGCGGCAGTCCTGTGGGCGAAAATGCCTTGTTGATGCTAGAGGTCAGAGGAGAATGGGCCGACTGATTCAAGCTGATAGAAGAGCAACTTTGACTGCAATAACCACTCGTTACATCCGAGGTATGCAGCAAAGCATTTGTGAAGCCACAACACGCACAACCTTGAGGCGCATGGGCTACAACAGCAGAAGACCCCACCGGGTACCACTCATCTCCACTACAAATAGGAAAAAGAGGCTACAATTTGCACGAGCTCACCAAAATTGGACAGTTGAAGACTGGAAAAATGTTGCCTGGTCTGATGAGTCTCGATTTCTGTTGAGACATTCAAATGGTAGAGTCAGAATTTGGCGTAAACAGAATGAGAACATGGATCCATCATGCCTTGTTACCACTGTGCAGGCTGCTGGTGGTGGTGTAATGGTATGGGGGATGTTTTCTTGGCACACTTTAGGCCCCTTAGTGCCAATTGGGCATCGTTTAAATGCCACGGCCTGTTTCTGACCATGTCCATCCCTTTATGACCACCATGTACCCATCCTCTGATGGCTACTTCCAGCAGGATAATGCACCATGTCACAAAGCTCGAATCATTTCAAATTGGTTTCTTGAACATGACAATGAGTTCACTGTACTACAATGGCCCCAACAGTCACCAGATCTCAACTCAATAGAGCATCTTCGGGATGAGGTGGAACGGGAGTTTCGTGCCCTGGATGTGCATCCCACAAATCTCCATCAACTGGAAGATGCTATCCTATCAATATGGGCCAACATTTCTAAAGAATGCTTTCAGCACCTTGTTGAATCAATGCCACGTAGAATTAAGGCAGTTCTGAAGGCGAAAGGGGGTCAAACACCATATTAGTATGGTGTTCCTAATAATCCTTTAGGTGAGTGTACAATAGATAGAAGGTTTACTCTTCATGTTTGCATTTAGGGACTCGAACACACAACTCTTGCATTGTTAGTACACTGCACTACTTGTTGAGACGGCATTACAAACCTGGCATTTGACTGGCACTGAGCCTTGGTTTCCCCAAAAGGTTTTCACCTGCATTTATCATTCCAGATCAGGTTTGTAATTTACTCGCCCAGCACATAAAATAAGATACACAAAAGTCTTATATGTGGCATGTTGGATTATTTATGAATGCAAACTGATGTTATATACATCTTTTGTTACTTTAGAGAAGCGTTTCTCAGTCTGTTCCTTGGGGACCCAGAGCCGGTCCATGTTATCGCTCCTTCTGAGCTCCCTGCCAGACAGTCAAAATTGGGGCTGGGAGAGAGCAAAAACGTGGACCGGCTCTAGTCAGATTGGGAAATGCTGATTGGGAAACAGTGCTTTAGAGGCAATGGGTTGGATTAAATATGCAGAACTGCTTGTATTGAAGGATAATTCAGTTTACATGTGCTGAGGAATAAGCAGTATCAACTCAACATTAAGCTAAACAGTTTACATGCATTTTATTTCAAGTCACACTCACATTAACTGATGCATCCTTCACAGCGTAAAAGTATACGAGCAGAACGCATCGCTTGCATGTTTTTGCAAATGAAAAATCCAGACAGTCTGAAGAATCGAAAGTGACTCGACAATTTCCCCGAGCGAGTAATTTTGCCAGCAGTCGGTGGAATCTGAACTGTTCCCATCAGCAGCAAGTGATTTGCCCGGTGTACATGTCGGCCAGGTGAATTGCCGGTATGCCGTTCGGGTTCGACCATGATGGTTTAGCAGGGCCAGGGCGGGCTTTACCTTCGCAGGGGGCCTAGGCAAAGCTTTACTTGGGACCCCCCAGTGAGAAAATCGATGGTCATTTCACTTCCTCCGCTACGCAGGTAATTCTGGGGCCTTAGGCTACTGACTCTTCCGCCTTTAGCTAGAGCTGGCCCTGACTGGACCTGAACTTTGAACGGATCCTTTGTGCAATGTACAAAACAAATATTAAATTGCCTTTTCTGCGATATTTGTGAAAGAAATTCTGTGATTCTGTGCTTTGTTTTTGGAAGATGGTAAGCGACAGAATGTAGCTGAGTGACCAGAAGTAGTACAGCGGCAGAACGGCTACCCAATGTTACATGGTGCAGTGTTTGAGCGACAGCCTGAGTGTTTGTCAGGTAGCTTTGGTCATGCATTAATCTCCATTAATCTCCACCTTCTGGCTGTGTTAGCCCAACAGAATAGCATAAAATGCATTTTAAAATGCATTAGCGATTTATTTTGAGGCATCTCTAAATGGCTCTGCATCCTGCCATCTATCAAATGAAATGCCATTGTTAGTAGAACATGATGATGTTTTATATATGGTGCTTTTTAAGTTATTGCGATTATTTTTGCTATTTTCGGCCAATGACCAAAAACGCTATAAATATATTATATGAGTCATGTATGCGGTCTCTGGTCCATTTTGGCTTCTGGAAATAATCATATTAATCATTCTCATTTGGGCATGAATATCTGCTTAGATTGTGAGTCACACGCAGGGCCGAGAGCTTCCACAAGCACCGACGCCCATGTTTTTAACCCCTGAAATGAAACGCATCCATGTCCCGGCATTGGCACACACCCCCTCCACACGTGTACGAATTCCAAAACCGTATCTCATTTCGAAGGCCAAGGCCGAGAGCCAGATCCATCAAGATGACAGCAGCGGGACACTTCTGCTGCAACCTGAAACCCAGTGTGTCCTGCAGGCATTTGTAATCCTGTAACCATGGGAGAGAGCCACCAGCGCGGGCTGTGATCAGGGAGCGGGCTCCCGGGAACTCAAACCTGACAGTACACAGACCCGCCGCCGCCCCGTGCCGCAGCCGCGCCGGGGTCACCCTGGACAGGCAGGAAACGCCCCCAAGTTCAGCGCTTCATGCGTTCGGGCTGCTTACTTCGGTGGTCGTGACTAGCAGCTTGTTTTTGTTTTTCTCTGGGGCTGAGCAGGTTCTCCGAGTCTCAGCATGCAGTTGGGGTATTAGGGCACCTGTGGTAGACAAAATGCTTTTTATTGTCTTACCGCAGGACGAGAAGCTCCTCTCGTTAAAAATATTCCGTGTTGCTGAGGTCTCCCATGTCATTGAAGAGAGCTGGAACCGAGTTGTAATCTCAGATTTTTATGCGATATTTAAATTGGTGCCCCGCCCGCAGCTTATACGTCTCCCCTGCATTACCCAAACATGCAATTAAACAGAACCCCCCCCCGGCGATGGCCTCGTCTTTTTGTTCCAGTTTCCGTGGGGTATGAGTACGAGAGCTGCCCAGGCTTCATCTTGTGGGAGAAGAGAACGGCCCTCCTGCAAGGGTTCGAGATGACGGGCTCGAACCTGGGGGGATGGTCCCTGGACAAGCACCACATCCTGAACTTGCAAAGCGGTATGCTTGCTCTCAGCCCCAGTCCATTTGTTTTATCGTTATGTGAGCAGAGAGACGCTTTCAGTTTGGCACAAAATTCTTTCACGACCAAAGAAGCCTGGACTGTATAATTCAGTCAAAGAGTCACCTCTGGCACTTTCTGATGTTTCTAGTGTCTTTAGCCATTTCCTTGCAGCCATAACCAAGACTGCGTTGACCTTGAGGAACAAGGCTTGATTTTCGTCCGACATGAGCTTTTCTGTTAAATTCTTTTGCTATAATATTCCTTCTGCGGCTCTTTGTTATTTTTTTTTTTTAGCACGAAGCTCCTTCCTTTTAAATACAGCACCAGCAAACAATAAGATAATTTACAGAAGAGTGCGCCGTAATTTAAAAACGGCTGAATTGCGGCCCCGCTGTTATCGTCTCTGTGTTCTGCATATGCTAATGATACATCTCTCATTTTCCAGTTTTTTTTCAGCATTTATGACCGCAATTCTTGTACCGGCAGGGATCCTGCACAAAGGGAATGGCGAGAACATTTTCATATCCCAGCAGCCCCCGGTCATCACCACGGTGATGGGTAATGGGAACTATCGCACCATTCCTTGCCCCAGCTGCAATGGCCCCGCCTTGGAACAAAAGCTCTTCGCTCCCGTAGCTGTGGCCTGCGGTTCTGACGGGAGTGTGTACGTCGGCGATTTTAACTTCGTTCGCCGCATCCTCCCCAACGGCTTCTCTGTCAACATTCTCGAGCTCAGGTACCGTCACTTGCCGGATCCTCCCTAAGTCACATGTGCTTCGGGAGTCGGGAGGGAGCTTAACGATTTTTTCATCTTCTTTCCCGACACAAAATCGATTTGTTGTGCCGTCCCTAAAATTACCCCCGTCCTTTAACTTCGCAGATATGAAATTAAATGCGATTTAAAGCAACGTCGCTATTGAGAATGGATCAATTTTACTTTACTCATAAAGCTTTAACACAATGTCAGAAAGAAAAAAAAAAACATGATTTATATTTTTTGGTTTTTTTTGCCTAATACCGTTTAATAGATGATGTATTTTTTGCATTTTGCTTTTTTTGATGCGACGGGCTTTTCTCTCTGTACGTGAGACGTTATTGCCGACTTTGGTTATTAAGTAGCTACTGTAGCAGCAAACTTCTGTTTTCAACCAATTAAAACATACAGAGGTAGCTGCTTAATTGACTCATATGACAGGTCTTTGAGCCAAGTATCTCAAGAGCAGGTTCCTTTGGCTTAACGAAAGCTCTCTATTGCACCTTTCGTCCACAAGCACGTTTTTGTCATGGATTCCATCTGCTTTCTGCGGAGGTACGATTGAGTTTGGGGTGGGTGCAGGGAACAACCTGCACATAAGCTCAGGGAAGACTTTGAATGCCACTTAAAAGTAAAAACAAAAGACACAACATAAGTAAAAAATCGTGCAGCTTCGCTCGCAAGTAAGCGGTCAAGGTAATGAATCCCAGCGGGTCACCGGCAGAAAGATCTTATTTCATGTGAAGGAATTTGTGTTTTTTTTCCTGTGAATAAATGATCTTTTCATCTTAATATTTTCTCTGTTTTTCTTTCCTTGGATGTGATGCTACCAGGAACAGGGACATCAGGCACAGGTAAGAGGCCGCGGTCCTCCAGTGCTTACTGGGATTGTCTGTCCAGCACCCTGCCCTCATGGGTCGTTAGCATCCTGGTTAAAGAAACATTTATTTTGTGCCCTTTCCCCAGCAAAACAATTTTCTCATGCTCTTTCGGGGCAGGGGGATTAAAAAGGGCGAATGGATGGCTGTCGATATCGAGGTCTACCGACCCAAAATTCGGACGAGTCGGGATTAGGAACGCTGTCGTGTCGCTAAAGGACGGCAGGGTGGTCTTTGCGAGTGTGCTGCATATCTGAGACAAAGCTGGACTTTAATGTGTGTTTAGGGAAGGCAGGGGCCCCCCCACGGCGGGAGGGCATGATAACACAGTGGGTCTGGCTGACCTTGGATCCTGACAGATGAAATCTGCTCCACAGGAAAACAAGGTGCCAGACCGCAGAAGGTGTCAATGCAGAGTGCATAAACGAAAAGATCCGAACCGCCCGCTTGAATTTATTTTCTTTTCTAATGCTTTTATATCATTGTTTTTTTTTTTTTTCAGTCCACTGATTTTCAGCCTGACGCTGCCACGTGGTGTGACCTAAGAATCCTGCCATATTGTTTTTCCACCTTTTACTGTCTGCTTTATTACACGTAGTTAAACGGCTCGAGAAAAGGTTGTTTCGGCTGCCAGGTGGATGTATCAGGAGGATAAAACATGCGGAACACAAAGACATACAGCAGGGGGCGAAGGACAAGGCTGGACCCGTGGGTCCGCGTCTGCCCCTCATATCCGTAGCGTTTAAAAGCCACATTTTGTGCTATTATTTTATCAGTGCATCCTTTAAATGATATTACTGCTCAAATCAAATCAATGTGATGGTCAAAATCCTAGCAAAAAAAAGCGAGCGATTTATGAGCCATTGGTTCTATTTATGAACTAAGAAGATTTTACTGCTTATATGTTCACCTGTTGGGGGTGGGAGGGGCTAAATACGTACTGAAGCGGTTTATGTGAAGAACCCTTGTGGGATTTTAGCCGGCGGCCTTTGGGCCAAATCGACATTTTTCACAACAGTCGCATAACCTGAACGTTTATTTTAGTCGCTGTTTGTGTCGGCTGTCATTTTTTTTTTTTTTAGCCATGATAGGGCCATTAAATGAGGTAAACGTGGCTGGGCCGTTATTATAATAAGTCTACGGGGTATGTCATAGTGTGTCATGCGCTACCTCTAATTAGTCCTACCTATGCGTGCACGTATGGAGTGTGTCCTTTCCCTCAACATCCCCTGTACAAGGCCAGGCAGATAGATATTAATAGGCTTGGTAATTGCATAAAATGCATGTGACACTGGGGAGGAGTAATAATGAATTATGATGCTAACGCTGAAATTAATTTCTTTTCCGCGATTACGACCAGGTCCCTCACAATTAGCAGGAACCTGAAGTAAATGAGTTTATTTCTTCTCCCAACCCACTTAATGTTCGTTAATGCGCAGCCGTATGCGCGGGCTGGGGAATATCTCCTAATGGACTTAATTCGGAGACAAGGCACCTGTGGCGGTGATGAATTCCATACAGGGGGCCGTGTTCCCCGTATCTCTGAATGCCTCGTTGCCATATTCCATTTATTTTACTTCTCGGAGGCAAGGCAAGCAACCACAGTGTTGCGATATTTAATAAAGCCCGGATCGGATATTAAGCGTTTGGCAATAAAGCATATGTCCTCTGCAATGTCCGTCAAGCGATAAGCTAGCATCGCCGTGTATCTCAACAATGAAATACTGCAAATGAATGTATATTATAATTGTATGCACGTTCGTTTTTAGAGTGGTTTTTGTCAATGCCGGATGGTTCTGTGTCACACAGCACCAGCCCGGCTCATAAGTACTATCTGGCCATGGACCCGATGAACGAGGCCTTGTACCTGTCGGACACCAGCAGCAGGAGGGTTTACCGGCTGAAGACTCTCATAGAACCCAAGGACTTGGCCAAGAACCTGGAGGTGGTAGCGGGAACAGGGGAACAGTGTCTGCCCTTCGACCAGAGCCACTGTGGGGACGGGGGTAAGGCCTCGGAGGCCTCACTCAACAATCCCAGAGGTAAGCCCTCCTGTGCAGTGGCTCCAGGTGCCCCACCTCTTTATGTCACTTCCTGTATCTGGGTTACACACTTCCTGTGTTTGGCCTTGACTGAGTTCATCCTGGGATAACTTCTTCTGCATTTGACGAATGAGTTTTAATTTTAAATTTAAATTTTTAAGTTCTGCTCTCTTTTTTTTACTAGCATGTCTAGAGGTCAGAACTGTTCCTGCTGTGCTTCCTCCATGAGAAACGCATTAACTGCACCCCCGGTCACAACTAACATTTATGAGAGACTGCATGGCTTACATTGTGTTCTGAGGTTTCTGCTATATGGCAGAGTAAAGTCGACCGGCTCAAAGCTGCTGGTTTGGCATTTGTTGTTGTAGGTTGTCTACTCTCTGGACTTTTTTCTACTTATAATTGTAATTTGCACTTTGTGTCTTACCAGCTAAGTTAACGCACCCTAAATGGGCAGCTTTTCTGTCATCATCATGATCAGGCTTTTATCATGGTGATGCTTTATTTGATCTTGCTGTGTCTGTAGGCGGAAAAGTCATTTTCTGATTCCAGTAAAAGGTTGCCAGGGAAATTTAGGCTTCTTAAAAACAGGATAATATAACAGAAAAGCAAACATTCGTGCATATACATCCATCCTCCAACCACTTACCTTAGACAGAGTCCTGGAACCTGTCCCAGGTGACATAGGGGTGACATAGGGGTGACATAGGGGTGGACCCTGGATGGAAGTAATTTATTAAAATATTTCAATATGTAGACAGACAGGCGGATGGACGGACGGACGGACGGACGGACGGACGGACGGACGGACAGACAGATAGATAGATAGATAGATAGATAGATAGATAGATAGATAGATAGAGACATTTTACTGTATATATTGACGAATCATATATAGCTGGTGCACTGAAATATGAAGACCACGATAGATAGACAGACAGCCAGACAGATAGATAGATACATAGATAGATAGATACATACATACATACATGCATACATACATACATACATACATACATACATGCATACATACATACATACATACATACATACATCCTGAATGAAATGACAGGCATTATAGCAGCATCAGAAAGTTCTAGTCCCTGATGACATTAGCATAACTGTGCTTCCACAGGGTGTGAGCCAGCGGCGCTTTTCAGAGTGATGCTGATGCACCAGGCTTTGTACAGTATGTACCATTCTTTCAATGCGCCACACCACAAAAGCCCTGCAACAATGTACTCGGTATAGCAGGACCATCCAAGGTCACATGATGAATGGTGTTTAACTGGCCAAGCGCTAACCGCGGGCAAGTCCCTCGCTCGTGGACCTAGATTAGTGATTCTAGGTAAAACTTTTAGAGCGCCCGCGATGCCTTCAGTCATCGGAGGCCCTAAAAAATTCATCACGTTCATCCGCCCACCAGTGGGAGGGTAATCAATCTTTAAGACCTGCTGTCTGAATCCTACCCTTGCGCTTACTGGCTCTACCGCACTTTATAAATTAGTAAACCTCATAATGAGAAAACGTTTTCTTTTTTTTTTTTCCGGTGAGAAATTGAGAGCTTATCTATTAGTCGCCAGCTGCTTTGAACACATCCATGTCGCAGATAATGATCCTCGGCGTGAAAACAAATCTCGTGCTTCCCTGTTTTGGTACGCTAACCACCCGATGTCAGATCCATCACCACGAGACTGGGGTGCACCCCCTGTCTTCAGAGTGTGAAAACACGGATATTTGAAGCGATACGAAATACTGTTTACATAATATTGTACGCTATCCAACGCAGAATTAATTTTCATCCGTTGAATGTGATGAAATACCGCAGAAAATTCTCAATTCTCATAGGATAGCAAACATGTAAATATAACTGCAGGCAGAGATTAATGGGGTCCAAGTACTACGGCATAAATAGACACTTTGGCCACATTCCATTTGAATGTCTGTAAATGGATGTGTTTTCAGTACGGAAGGACTTAGTGTTTGTATGGCTTTATAATTTCTACTTTACTGTATAAGGGACTAGGGAGTTTGGGCACTGCAGCACCACAATAAGCCTAACCTGTGTCTTGTTTCTGGTCCGAGTAGCGGAAGGAATATTGCACCATTACTCCAAATTTCATGATTCTCAGTCATATACAAGAGTAATTATAGCCTGCTGAAATTTGATTGGCTGTTGTTAACAATGTTTGATGAGCAGATGAACTTTTATTATATCATTTGTTGGGACATCTGGCCACAAACACACATATAAAATTTCATGTCTTTATGTCCAATGGTTTCCAAGTTATTTTGGGTTATAAGCACATGCATTGGTTGAGTTTTATGAAATTTGGAGAGTGATTTAATAAAGCCCGCAGTGTCACACCAACTAAACTTAGCAAGTTTGGTGAGACTTGGATGTTCCGTTGATGAGAAATAGCTCATTAAGTGCAGACAGGCCACGTCCAAGAAACTAATTGGTCTGTAGCATCGGAACAATTACTGTGATCAAAATCCTGCAGACAACTTTTTGTCTAAATGGTCTCAAGATGTTGCAGTTCAAAATTTGTGTGAATCGGATTAACAGTTTAAGTTCAAAAAAGTAGATTTTGCATGTTTTGCAAATTAACTAAAGATCTAAGGGACATTGTTTGACGATCTTATTAGCAAATATAACTGCCCGCAGCCAAGGAATGTGCAGAAAAGAGAATTTACTTTCTATGACCCACAGTTCTGAAAATATTGGCCAAAATGTACAACAGAGCACTATAGCATCACCATTAGGCTGACTGGTGTCTTTTTGCAGCCCAGAAAAGTGCAGGGACAGTTGCAACATGGCACCAAATTTCGTGATCCTAGGTCATATTCATGGATAGTTATATCCTGCTGAAATCTTATTGCCTGTTGTCAGCCATGTTTAATGAGTATATGAACATTTATTAGAAGATTAGTTGGGACATCTGCCCATAAATATATATATACAATATTTCTTCTTTCATTGTCCAATGGTTTCTGAGTTATAAGCTATTTTGAATTTTAGCGCCCCCTATTGGGTGATTTTTATTAAATTTGGGGAGTGGCATCGTACTAATTACACATAGCAAGTTTGGTGAGAACCGGATGTTCAGTTGATAAGAAATTGGTCATTAAGTGCAAAAAGGCCATGCCTGTAGCATTGGAACGATTTGCCTGATTAGAATCCTACAGACAGCTTTTTGTCTGCGTGGTCTTAAGATGCCACAGTTAAAATTTTTTGAAATTCACATGAACTGTCTAGGACGAGTTTGAAAAAGTAGATTATGCAAATTATCAAAAAAAAAAATCTACGTGGGCAGAGCTTCATAGTCCCATTTGCAGTATTTTTTAACATGAGCCAGGGAATGTCTGGAAAAAAATATTTTGTTTGTCTGACTCATGGATCTGGAGATATAGGCCAAAATGTAAAACACTGGGCTGTAACGCCACCGTCAGGCCGATGGGTATGATTTTGCTTGCCTGAGTAGTGAGGGGGATTCTACACCACTCCACTAAATTTGGTGTTTCTACACTTTATGGTCTCTGCTCTCCGTATCATTTTTGTGCAGAATACAAATAATAATAATAATAATAATGAGAAGAAGAAGCAAAAAAAATCCTAACAAATAAAACGGGGTTCCAGCACAACACACTTGGACTGCTGCTTTTATTTCCTATCGCATTTCCCCCCTATGGTCAATTAACAGAATTCTAATTAATTATGGCAAAGGAAAATAAAAGCAGTCTGTTACACATAACTACGTTTTTAGTGGAATTGAGTATAAACTAAAATCATTTATTTACAGCCCTTGAATCATTAGTCTTTAAAGTTCAAAACATTTTTAAGAGGGAAATTCCAGTGTGTGAAACTCCTCCGACCTGAATGTCGAGGAGCTGCCTGAGGACGATGCGAGCAGATAAATGAGCCCGGGCTTCTCCGTGTGTCGTTTGGCGACTGCAGGAGTGCCGGGGGGTTATTAGCGTTTGATAGTATGTCATCCCCCTCCCGGTATCTGGCACGAATAGAACTGGGAGTGGCTGCGTTAGCAGCCAGCAAGGCCACTCTCCACGGAAGCGCCCCCTGAGTCTGCCGCGCCCACGTCGGCGACGTCGGGCAGCCCCAGAGGTGGCTATCTAATGCCTTTATCGGCTGATGACACTCAGCCTCCGCAGATCCCCTTTCATCTGGGCCCCCTATCACTGACTCATTCCATTACAGCATGACAGCAGATGCCTTAAGCCACAACCATGAAAGAGAATGAGCTTCATGCGAACAGTCACGGAGGGTGGAGGTTTATAGGCTGTGTGACAGAAGGGTGCTAAGACATGTGACATGTGACATGTGATGGCACAAGAGATGCAGGTGTCCCCACAGTGGGTACATTCGGCGGTCAATAGCTTGTACCACAACAACACGTTGGGGATCTGAAGGACCAGTTGTTTGTGGATCATTTCCCTCGTCTGCTCCTCGTAGCCGCGGTCATACGGTCACATCTTTGTGGATCTGCTTGTCCGTCTCCCTCTATAGTACTCATAGTGCCAATAATAGGTTCCAGTTCTGTGCAGCCCCAGCAACAGTCAGTTTCGTCACTGAAGCCCCAAATGAATCTGAGTGAGCTCCGAATTATTATTATTTTTTTTAGCTCAGATGTTTTAAGAACTGTGCTATCAGTTTGGGAACTGAGGCTAAGCCCCAGATATCTTAAGATCTTATCAACACTACTGACAACAGTTAACTATCACCTCTGCTCAAGCCGAATTTCTCCCCCATTTCTGATCCCCCGTTTACTGGTTTGTGCGTTTATGCGAAGAGGGACGCCAGCCAAGGAAACGGGCCCGTGTTGTAACCTCTTTTTGCGGTATGCAAACACATCATTTGTACAGCCTCTGCGCATTCATCCGAGGGACGTAAGATCACTTAGTGACTCATTAGGTTCATAACAAATAATTACGGTAAAGCTCTGTTTTACTCACAGTCACACTATCAATCCTCCGGCTCCGAG